GTCACAGACAAATAACAGTTCAGAGCGTAACAGGCGACAAGTGCGCAGCTGTCGTGGCAGCATCTTGCCGGCAGCGGATTACCGAAAATACACAACCAGGACAGGCCGACTTCCTCCAATTATGGTCCAACTGCAGACTCGTTGGATGGCGGCCCCGTGGTAGGCACAACTTACGTAGACGCTGCCCTATCACTTACTGATAAAAATGGGTTCGACAACAACGCCGTTAAACGGCCAGGAGTCTCGCCACAGTCGTTGCAATGACGCGGTGGCTCGGAGAGACATGCAAGCCCATCAGATTTGGCTATTTGCATCCTCGAGGGCCCGACACTGACATTATTTCTGACTCCTAACGATTTCGGGAGAAAGTTAATTTCTGCTCGGATATGAACACCAGCCTAACAAATATCAAAGACATCAACGGTATACTCCGCAATACAACCAATATTTGCGTCCTCTGCTTAGAAATATTCGGGGCAGACCAGACCCGGCGTTAGTGATATAGCGAGTTTCCGCTTAACCAACGGTTTTACCGATAGCTTGCAACCCCATATTGGTCTTCTTTTAAAGAAATAACAAGACAGCAGAGTTACTGAACTTACTTGGAAACCCTAATGTAAAGAGGCCCAACAAATATCAAGCAAACAATGCAGTGGACGCGCAATAAAGCAATTGATGGGAGGTGAGCGGTGGGTATCTCGGTGAAAAATGGGGCATAACTGGAAGTGGGTGCTGCATTAAGGAGAGTTCATCCCTCAGAAGACGATCTGGAAGAATAGACTGTACATAGTAAAGCCTTAACTTCGGTCCAAAACCTTCAAAATACACGTGCGACCAAGATACCACAGCTGGGGTCCAAAGACTGAAGATCTTTAAGATTGGCACAAAAGTACACTGGGCTGGATGATAGGGTTTAAGATTGCTCAGAGGTAGTGGGTTAGGAACAAGAAATGCAAGTAAAGGATTGACAAAAGAGGAAGGGTGGTATACGTAGACAAATTCAAAAATTCGGGCCGCTGAAGTAAACGAATCACAAGTTTCAAAATAAGCCCGCCTTAAAAAAGGGCACATACGTAAGGAAGACTGTTGAAAAGAAAATTTATTTCACTTGACGCTACGGGCACAGTGGAAGATAAGTCTCGTTTGAACAATGGCGTCGAAAGACAGAGGTAGAAAGGAGGGCGAAGCTGCAAGATCCAAGTTGTCTGCTTCGGACAAAAATAGGCCTGGGATTAAGTGAAAGATGTTTACAAGCACAATCTATGAAGACAGACATGCTCAAGTCATAAGCAGCAACAGTGAAAAGGAGGCCAAAGAGAGCAAGAGTGCCGGTTTTCAAAGCCCCTGAAGTGACACAGATAGCCTGAAGAGTCAACGGGAAGGCTTAGCCAAATTGGCGAGTTCAGCCGAATGTGGTGGGTACAAAATCCGAGGGCGAGCCTATTCAAGAAAAGATACAAGATTGGTGGGAACTTTAGGAACGGGTTTAGCTTTGGATTAACGCCAGTTGGGACGCTGGGGTGGCGCTAAGAAAATTTGGTAGAGTTAAAAGAATCAAAAAATAATAATAAATGCAGTGATCGATGCCAACACAGCAGGATAAGGTACCAAAAATAAAGAAGGCACACACTGGGGCAATGCAGTACCTGACTAAAACTGAAGAAGTTGTCCGAAGTTGTAAAAGTTCGGAAAAAAGGCGCGGTCGAACAAATGGGGGTTTGGTTGGGCGATTTCGTAACGAACTCGTGGAAAAGGGAATGTACGTCGTGGATGATGCAAACATCATTTCAACCCGATGTGGGTCATAAGTTGAGCGATCAAATTGGGAATATGTCAAACAGCGAGCCAGCAAGCATGCAGTTGGGCATCAATGCAGAGGACGTCAATACGTTCAGGGTAACTCACAAAGCAAATCGATATAACTGGACTACGCTAGCAGATTCATGTGAGGGATAAGTTAAAAGTCAAATTGCATATTTCCAACGTGCGGTCCGAACATGAAGGCGTTTTCACCGCTCCCGTCAGCGGTAGAAGGGTTAAGTTGCGCTGGAGTTTCGCCTTCGTTGTAAGCATCTTCCGGTTGTGCTTCGTCAAGTGGCTATAAAATAGGTCAAAAATAATTCTAAATTAAGTTAGTTAGGATTACTAGATTCTACTGATGACAAATGGGTTACTATAAGTCACGATCTTGAACGAAGGCAAAATGGAACAAGCATACATTTAGGAAGAAACGCCTGTTCCAATGCAAGCCATAGCGTGGGGAGTTTTCAATTGGGGGAATAAGGTATCTTGTGTCAGCGGGT